ATTGTGAAAAAAAATAATACAGAAATAAATTATAAAAAAAATTACAAAATTGGATAATAAAAATGAAAACATTTTGACACCCACACCATTGATCTACTGACACCATCCACTGGCCACCCAAAAGCATTTTGAAAAAAAAATTTAGAAAAATAATAAAACATTAATTTGTAAAAAAAAATAATAGAATTGCAAAAAAAAAAATAAATAATGATAATAAAATGAAGAACTGCCGACACCATCCTACACATACTACCCACCACCATACACTCTGCACTCCTCTCCCTGTACATACTACCCACTGTCATACACATCACACTGTACATTCCCTATTTAACATTACCTCAATCTGCACTATACAAGTAATCTCAGACACTAACCACACCCCTTTTAAGCCATGCCCAATTTTTAGCGCAATTTAAAACACACACCCCTCCTCTCTCATCCCTTCCTCTCTCGCTCCTCCTCTCTCTCTCACACCCCTCCTCTTTTTCACCCTCTCACTCCCCTCTCTCTTTCACTTCCCCCACATGGCCGCCATCTTTAAACCTGAAAGTGCCCAGAGGCTTCTACGGAAAGAAGCCAGGAACATTTATGCAGTCTTTGCTGAAGTAAATATTTAAATGCCCCTTCTATGCAGCTGAGCTGCAATATGTAGGTAGGGTGTTGTGTGGGTGTGCTTGAGTGTAGGCGGGGACACGGGGCCTCATTATCTCTTACTGCCTGGGGGCCGCATGAGTTGTCAATAAGCCACTGGCTGTATATTTATGTAATGTCTACAATAAATACAACTCTGTATATAAAAAACAAAAATGTGGTTGTGTAAGTTTTGATACACAGCAGTCAGCTCAGATTGATTGGTCATCTGGTATTTATGGCATTAGCTGAATGGACTGCTGTTTCCGAGAGGATTTGTAAGCTGTTGAGATCCTTTGCGGGCTGCATGGTCCATTATATGGCCCGACCCCCCACAATACACAACATAGACAGAGGAACCATGTACATTGTTATTGCTGTGGTCAAGTACTATCACTGGCACGCTCGGACCAAGGTAGCCATGCACAACGAGCTGTTCCTGGCCAGGAAAGTCGCAGACGTAGTCCTCTCAGAGCTGAGGTGGATAAAGAGTTTAGAGCTAAGGAAATACTGGAGGAATATAAAATTATGGGATCGAATTTATTTATAGTATCAAAATTCTGTGTATAACTTTTCATTTCATTTAAACTGATGTGTTTTTGACGTGAAGAATAAGTAAGCAGTTGTTAGATTGTTGGTTTATGTGCTATTTGTTTTATGATGGTTACAGTTTTGTTACCTTGTAATTTGTTTGTTTATACAAATAAAAATATCCATTATATGGCCCGAACCACTCATTCATTATTCTGTTGGACTCCATTACTGCGCTGTTGTTAGAAATACAGCCCTGGACAAAAGAATGACACAAATAATTTTCACAAAGTCTGCTGCTTCAGTGTTTGTAGATGTTTTTGTCAGATGTTACTATGATATACTGCAGTATAATTACAAACATTTCATAAATATCAAAGGCTTTTATTGACAATTACATTAAGTTTATGCAGAGTCAATATTTGCCGTGTTGGCCCTTCTTTTTCATGACCGCTGCAATTTGCCCTGGCATGCTGTCAATCAACTTCTGGGCCCCATCCTGGCTGATGGCAGCTCATTCTTGCATAATCAGTGCTTGGAGTTTGTTAGAATTTTGTGGGGGGTTTTTGTTCACCCGCCTCTTGAAGATTGACCATACGTTCTCAATGAGATTAAGGTCTGGATTCCTGGCCATGGACTCAAAATTTCAATGTTTTGTTCCCCAAGCCAATTAGTTATCACTTTTGCCTTATGGAAAGGTGCTCCATCATGCTGGAAAAGGCATTGTTCCTCACCAAACTGTTCTTGGATGGTTGGGAGAAGTTGCTTTCAAAGGATGTTTTTGTACCATTCTTTATTCATGGCTTTGTCCTTAGACAAAATTGTGAGTGAGGCCACTCCCTTGGCTGAGAAGCAACCCCAAACATGAATGGTCTCAAGATGCTTTACTGTTGGCATGACACAGGACTGATGGTAGCGCTCACCTTTTCTTATCTTCTACCCAAATAATCAGAAAGGGGATTCATCTGAGAAAATTACTTTACCCCAGTCCTCAGCAGTCCAATCCCTGTACCTTTTGCAGAATATCAGTCTGTCCCTGATGTTTTTTCTGTAGATAATTGGCTTCTTTGCTGCCCTTCTTGACACCAGACCATCCTCCTGGTGCTTGCTGACTTTATTGGGCACCCTGAAGCCTTCTTCACAACAATTGAACCTCTCTCCCTGAAGTTCTTGATGACCGGATAAATGGTTGATTTAGGTGCAATCTTAGTAGCAGCAATATTCTTGCCTATGAATCCTTTTTTTGTGTAATGCAGTGATGACTGCACATGTTTCCTTGCAGGTAAATTTTATATTTGTGTCATTCTCAAACCTTTTGGCCAGGGCTGTAGTGGTGTGCTTAAACTTTCATGTTTCAGTAGGCTTTATAAACATTGGTCACTTAGACTTAGGTGGTGCTGAGTGTTTTATACGCCAGGGTTGCTTCTCAATCACAGTCCAATACCATGCAAAATTAACATGCATATTTAAATGTCATCCAGTTTCTGTGTTCTGATAACTGATGGACTTGGATTTTCCTTTCCAAATAAAATCAAATAATAATGCTAAAAAAGGCATTCAGCCAGGCATTTATAAGGTCCCTGCTCAAAAGAGCTTACAATGACCATAAATCATATACTATACAAATAAGATTACAGAAATAACCCCATTTAGAAAAATGAGTAAAACTAAGAACAAGTCTATAAATGCATTATAGTATGCATGCATAATGACATTTCTGTGGGATTGCTGTTTACACACACATCAGATTATTGCAGTACTTCCTCCTAGGCAGCGAAATGCTTGACATCGCTATAACAGGTTATTTAGTATGGACTGTAATTTCTTTCACAGTATCTTGCAGAGAATTATGTACAGTGGTAAAGTGTTTATCTAAGTAAATGGTCTGGTGTTTTTTTAAGCATGGTTAAAATACATAAACTGTATGTTATAATTTTAAAAGACTTGTTCGGGTATGAATAATCCTAGGACTTGTTTCATAAAAACGCAATCTTATAATGTCACAAAGTTAGTAGGCCCTGATGTACTTACCAAGCATCTCCAGCAAGCCATGCATTTATCAGTCCCAGAACCTCATTGTTGGCTTCTGGTCTTCCCAAGCATCCTAGTGAAGTATGGACTTTTCATTAGAATGAATGAACATAGAGGGCAAATACAGATTCACTAAAAATATATTGTATTTATTTAAATAGCATTTGCACAAATGATTTAATAGAAGATAAAAACAATGCCAAAAACCTCTATAGTGTAGCAAGAAGTGAAAATGTGTAAATTTAATTAAGATTAAAAATGCACTTACCAAGAAGACCTTATATGGGCAGGCGGGAATAGGTCAGATGGAAACAGACCAGCAGGGCAAAATCCCCAAACCTCAGCCTTGGCCATCAGCATGGGAATTGGATCAAACCTGTATACCTCTGATCACTTGAGCCACCAAGCCAAAGGAGTGCTTTTGCTGATACCTAGAACCCGGAACCTCCACTCTTGATGTCACAGATGGTGCATCCGCAGTGGAATGTGTTTTGAGGTGTACACACCTCCCATCAGCCTGAGTGCCTGGGCTACCCACAACTAATATATACAGACTATGATATTGCCTGGGACAAGAGGGAGGAGGACCCTTAGTAGCTTAAGGCAGCACCCCAGACTCAGTTAAACAAAAGTGTATAAAGAAAAAAACTGACAGTAGGGGGCTGTAAAAGTCATGCCTGTAAATGATGATAACATAGATCCACTCTATACCAAAGTACGTGTATATAAATAACATTACCGTTGAAAATCTAATGTATATAAAATGTATACTGTATGTAAATGACAATAAAAAAAAAATTAAGCAATTTTGTATACTTATGGATGGAATTTCATAAATAAATCAATTCTAACCAGAGAAATAAATATATATCCAATGGCAAATATATATATATACAAATGTAAATATAAATGATTAAATCAATGTTTAGAGTACAAACTATTTAATAACCAATATGAAAAAATCATAAAATATATTACAATAAAAAAAAAATGAAGAGTAAAAAAACTAGTCCTGAATAATAACATACTAGAAAACATACTTAATTCTTCCTCGATAGAACTGTTTGAAAAAATAAATTAATGGATGGTAAATCCCTATTTTGGGCTAGAGAAAAACAATGCCATAAACTACAATAGTCATTACACAAATGCACCTGAGTTTGTAATAATATTGTAATGATGATTGTTTGCACCACCAACAATTGTATGTGTACAATCCGAACTATGCATACAATGCCATGAGGGAAAGGGAAAAGGAAAGGCATACCCTAAAGAAAGAAAATGGACCAGGGAAGAAATAGGGCAAATGGAGATTCCTTAGCTGTAAGCAAAAATAAGGGAAATGATTCTTCCCAACCCAGTGTCCAAAGTGCTGGTATCTGTATATCTAAATTGATAGATATATGTGTGTGCGATAATATTCAAAAATAACAAAAGGAAGTGTAAAAGACCCACATAAACTAGAAGAAACATACTTCAGATTACAGAATGTCATTTACATCTAGCTCCTCACTGAGACTACTGGGGCACAAAATGGCCAGCTTGAAAATCCAATAAGTTTCTCTGGTACAAAGAATTTTAAAACATTCTTGAGGGAAGTGGGAATGGCCTTGATAACAAATACCCTAAGGCCACTGGGATCTTTCTCATAATGCATAGAGTAATGTCTAGATCAGGGGTATTGAATTAAAATTCAAGGAGGTCTGGTCACTAAAATTTTCTTCTGGCTGAGGTCCGTATAGGGTGTGTCCATCAGTGTGCCTCCTTACATTAGGTGTTGCCATCAGAGTGCAACTTTACACCATGTATTCCCACGACATCAGGTGTGCCCATTAGAGTGCTCCTTTACATCAGTTGTCCCCATCAGAGTGCCCCTTTACATCAGGTATCCACCTCATATTGCCAGCTTACATCAGGTATTCCCATCAGCGTGCCCCCTTACACTCAAAGTACTCCTTTCTATCATATTTCCCCATCAGAGTGCCCCATTACATCATATTCCCCATCAGAGTGCCCCTTTTCACAGTATGTGCCCATTTGTGCCCCCTTAACATAAAATGGGCCCGTCAGAGTGCCCTTAACATGAAATGTGCTTATCAAAGTGTCCCTTAACATAAAATGTGCCTGTCAGAGTGCCTCCTAACATAAAATGAGGAGCATGCTGATGGGCACATTTTATGTTAAGGGACACTCTGATGGGCACATTTATATTAAGGGGCACTCTGATGGATACATTTTATGTTAAGGGACACTGTGATGGGCACATTCTATTTTGTGCTCATCAGAGTGCACCTTAACATTAAATGTGCCCATCAGAGTGCCCCTTAACATAAAATAAGGGATATGCTGATGGGCATATTTATTTTAAGGGGTACTCTGATGGGCACATTCTATGTTGTACCCATCAGAGTGCCCCTTAGCATTCAATGTGCCCATCAGAGTGCCCCTATAAGACTACACTCTACCTTGCGGGCAGACAGAAGCTGTGCCGGGATCCTTGCTGGACGCTTGTGTACAGGTAGGGAGTGGGAGCTGGAGATGCAGTGAGCTGATGTCGTGATGTCATGTTGCCATGATGATTGCCCTGCTCAGCAGTGGATCTGTCATTGTGGGCTAGCGGTCTGGGCAGCAGTGCTGCTGGGGCAGTTCATGGACCGCAGTCCGCCATTTAGTGACCGCTGGTCTAGATAGACTGAACTGGGTAACCACACTCTCCACACTCCTCCTGTATTCTCCAAATCGAGCATGGAGTGACTATGTTGTCCACGAATGACACATGCGCATTTGCAATTTTATTTTCTACATTGGGACAGCCTTCTAGTGAGATAGCTTGCTAAGGGCTATTAGGTTTTTGACATTCCTGGATTTCCTAAATACCACCCGATTTGAAATAAATACCAGCAATTTTTTATGTTGTATGTTGTTATATACATACACTTTGGTGTAGAGTGGATCTATTCAATCAGCATTTCATGATGGGACTCTTAAAGCCCCCTCCTGTCGGTTTTTACTTTATACACTTTTGTGTAGCTAAATCTGCAGTGCTGCCTTTAGCCACTATGTTCCCACCTCCCTCTCACTGCATGCAGTATCAGAGGGTGTATATATTATGGGTAGCCCAGGCAGTCAAGCTGATGAAGAGGCATGTAAGCCTCGAAACATGTTCTGACTGACATGCACCATCAGTGACATCGGGTGGAGGAAGTTCTTATCCAGGTCCGGTCTTATCCCAATGCCAGTGGGAAAGGATGGGGTTTATGGATGTCACCCTGTCGGTCTCCTGTTTCCATCTGACCTATGTCCCTCTGCCCACACACCTTTTGTGAGTGCATTTTTAATCCTTTAAACTTATACATATTCGCTACATGCTACACTATGGATGTTTTGCGCTTTGTTGTTATCTCTTGGTTGGATTTGAATGGAGCTCCCACTTTTGCTTTCTCAGCTGTATCATTCCCATTATTAGATCAGTGGTTGTTTGAGTTTTTGGGCTATCCACGCTCACCTTTTTATTTATACCTATAGTTTATGATAGCACATTTACTCATGGTTTGTTAACCATCCGACTTTGTATGTCCATTTCCATCTCCAGTATATTTGTGCCTTTTTTGAGAGCTACACCTATAACACTGGTCAACAAAAAAAATAAAAATATTCTGGCCTGGACTTTTGCAGCTGTTTCAGACTAAATTCAAGGTGCTGATTCCAAATCTGATCTCAGATTTGCTCTATCACATCTCTTTTTTATGCTACCGGCATACCCCATTTTCATTAATTTTACCCGAAATTAACTCTTTCACTTATGATTGCAAGTTGTTGTGAGTCAGTGACTGCTTTAGTGGTAAAATATGGTGCTGTATTTTTTAGGATAGTGTGTTGTTAATATCATTTTATGTAGATATCCACATTTCTGCAAGGAAGTCACACCAAATACCCTTATTTCCTGTGCTACTGAGACAGTAGGGCTATATTAGAACACTGGGTTAAAAAGAACTGGCCGCCAAGAATCAGCTTGACTCCTGGTGATAAGAACATCAAGAATGAGCCTCTGGTTGATAGGAATAAAATTGTATTTCCCCCACTGCACATAAAACTTGGGTTATTGAAGCAATTTGTCAAAGATCTTGATCTACACTGGAGACTGCTTCAGCTATATATGTTCAATCTTTTCAAGTCTCAGTGCTGAGAAGAAAAAGGCAGGAATATTTGATGACCCTCAAATAAGAACACTCATCAGGGATCCACACTTTGTTACAACAATGACTGTGGCAGAGGCTAGAGCTTGAAATGCATTCTCTGATGTGTTGCGGAATTTCCTTGGGAACAGGAAAGCGGACAACTATAGAGAGATTGTGGAGGAGCTGCTCTTGAGTTTCCAAGCACTTGGATGTAGAATGAGCATCAAGGTTCACTACTTACATAGTCACTTGGCCCAGTTTCCAGAGAACATGGGTCACGTGAGCGAAGAGCAAGGTGAACGCTTTCATCAAGACATTAAAATTATGGAAGAACGTTACCAAGGGCGATGGGACTCAAACATGATGGCAGATTACTGCTGGTCGTTGATGAGAGATAGTCCACAAGCGAGATCGTCAAAGAAGAGGTCGTTTATGCAAATGTAACATCACTATTGTGAATGACCTTTTTGTACATATTTTTCTTATCTTCACAATTCAATTCTTACATGGTAATATGCATTCACTCACATTGATATGCAGTCACTCACAACTTTGTGCTACGACTCATTAAATGTTTCATTATTATTGTATATTGTATCTTATCTTATTTTTGTATGTATTCCTGTATAGTTATTTGTATATGAGCATAACTTTGCTGTTTTTATTGAAAATGCAATATTTGATAGACAAAAACTGATGCCAGATTTGGAATCAGTGCCCCAAAATTACATTAAAACCGTTGGAATACCTTATGCCAGAAAAAGTGTGTTGACCAGTGTAATTTATGTTTTTCACATGAGATTGAGTTCACAGATATCCTTTTGGTTGCATGAACACTCTCTCCCTGGTGTTGTGAGCTGCATATTCTGCTTCCACGGAAATATTTTTTCAGTACAAATGTTTTATTGCCTATTCTTCAGTTAGATTGTTAATATATGACCTGTTATGGAAATGCCAATTTCATTTTAAAGTGAGCTTGCTGCTTGAACCTAAACTCCAGGCAGGTATAACATTACACCAGTTAACACAGGTATGCACATAATAAAATATCACTGTCTACTCATGGGCTGGGGAAAGGGAGGTGACCAAGCTGTATTGCTTAAGGGCCTACTCACAATAGGTGCAGCTACCTTTGTTTTTCTGCATGTAAAAACACAAGTAACTGCAGTGACACACAAAAAAACAAGAGTTTTCTGTGTGTCAGGACTGGGCAGACAGAAATACATACCCTATGGCAGGTTAATTCTTCTATATGCATTTCACCTATGTACCTGGAGTTTAGCTTTAAAGTGCAAGCAAAGTCTATTTACCTACAAGTAAACCTTTAATAAGGCTTACCTGTAGGTACAGTAAAATTCTCCTAAATGTGCACCATTTAGGAAGTATTTACTTCAGCAGCTCCTGTGATTTCACCGACACATGTGCACTGTGCTGGTAATGGACAGTGTGCCATCCATTGAGAGAGCCGAGCCATGACCAAGACTCCCATGCGCATGTACAGGAGTGATGTCATAACAGCGCCGTCAATCAAACGAACGAAGCCCGCAAACCTGGAAGAAAGACTGGGTGAAGATGGAAACCTTGGGGAGCCATGACAGCGCTCCGCTGGAAGGCTTCATTTTCTGGTAAGTCTTTCATGATGTGCTAGTATGCAATGCATACAAGCACATTATGCTTTTAATTCCAGGGAGAAGATTTTTGAGATTTAATTTTTTGCGGTATGCTACCACTTTAAGCACATGGTTCTTGCAATTACTTTTGCATGTTACTTATGTGCACCTTTGAAACTTCTCCTATTTTGGGACTTCACTGTAAGTCAACTAATTTAATAGATTAATAAGATTTTTGTTATTGCATGAATTTAAGGCTGTCATATTGGTTTGTGGATGGTGGGGAGGAGCTCCAATAAGAAGAAGTCGAAACCTCCACTACCTGTGGGTTAGGTGCTGTGTGGTGTGGCGGCAATAGTGACACTGAGGCCCAAGATGGCAAAACTGGTATTTTGTAGAACAATCACAACAACCCAGCAGAGAGAACGCCCATCTGGGAACTCACAGTCAATGTAGCGGAGAGGCAGCGGTAGTAGGCCCAAGCTGAAGGCAGCACTTGCTGAGGGAGGAGGAGTGGCCAGACTAACCCAAAAGGGAGCTTGCGGAAGTGTAGACATAGGCCATACACTTTTCTTACTTCTCTGGAATCTCTCCGTACCTCTATCTAGTGCTGTCTAGTATCTCTCCCTGCACTAACCACTTTGTGAATGCATGGCAAAACCTGGGGGCAGGGGCATAAAAAGGTTCTGCTTGACCTGGGATGGCCACCCGAGTTGTCTTGAATGTAGCATAGCCAACCAGAACGCTGTTCCAGGGAGCAAAGGAAACCATCGAGAAACAAAGTTTCCCTTGACTTCCTCTCCAGCTGCAGTATCACTATGGTTGAGCACCACTTACAGTGGAGAAAGCAGATTGCACCTGCCTACATAGTCTTTGATTGATGGGTGGCTTACTGATGCACTGCAAATGGAGTATTGGAAAGGTAACCTGCCTGCACTTAAACAGTAGTAAATTAACAATAATTGTGGATTGTGGCATGCAGTTGAGTCAAACTACAAAATAGGTCCTATATGGATTTTTTTCTTAATCAAAATGCCTTGTAAGGAGAGAGAACTAGGTTTACTGATTTTTTTTTTTATTATTTTATTTTAATAGTTGACAATACCTGTTTATTATTTATGGCAAATGAATTTACATTCTCTAATTCAGCATTAGCTTTGCTATTTGTTTTGCAGTATTGAAAGTGCTGCTTTACATTTGTAGTCATTTTCCACTGTGTGAAAATGGTTTAAGCACGATCCCCTACCGAGCCTTGATTCAGATAGGATTATTTAACCAGCTGACAAATCTTGGATTGAATTTTGTCACACACTCTGAACTCCTCAAGCTCCTTAATTTGGAGCTTTTCTATGTGCGTGACAGTTCTATAAATCTCCATTCTGAAGGAGCAATTACTTTCCCTTGTGTCAGTGATGTTCATCAAGTGCTTAAATTGTCATTTTTAAATTAGATTTGTGTACACAACACATTGCAGGTTATACACCCTTTTAATCTAATAACCAGTCTATATTTCT